TGTGTGGCGCGCGCTGGGGCCCCGCTGCGGCCCGGCTTCCTGCAGCTTTGTTCCCCGAGCCTGGCCGCCCAGGACTCATTCTGCAGATGCCAGCCCCAGATGCTGCGGGATGCGAGCGCAGAGTGGCCTGCGGGGTGGCTTCTCCCCACCCGCCCCCCAGTACGACACCTTCAGACCCTGCACGCGTCGGCTCTCTGTCACTGGGGCCGCCGGTTTACACCCCTCCATTGTGTTCTTATCCTCGGGTGTCCTCTGCTTCTAGAAGGAAAGGGAGGCTTGTTTTGGTGAGGCCGGTGCATGGGAGACGATAGGGAAACAGGAAGCCTTTCTTTTCCGTGCATTAAAAACGCGGTGTGTTTTTTGGTGTTCGTGCAGCGGTTGAGCCTTTGCCGAACGTGGTGGAGCTGTGGCAGGCAGAAGAAGGGGAACTCCTGTTGCCTACTCAGGTGAGGACGACCAGGTGACAGGGCGGGGGTGGGTGTGCGAGGGGGGAGAGACTGGGAGGCCGCCGGCCCCCAGGCGGCAGAGGCGTGCGGGCCACTTTGCAAGGCAAATAAACGGTCGGGCAGAGCCTGAACACCTGGCAATGGTGGCCTTCGAGGCCTCCTCCCGGGCCATGTGACGGCGTGAGTCACGCCTGCCCCAAGTTCAGGAGGTGGGAGCTGAGGCCACCTCAACAGGGCCGCGGCCAGCCTCTGCCGAGCATAGAGGAAAGGGCGGGCCCCTCGGCCAGCCGTGGTCCTGGATGGGCGAGAGACATGTGCCCTGTTCTCCAAGTGAGCTGGTGCTCTGTGCCTGAGGACCACAGGAATATTGATTTCAGGAATGTTAGTGAGTGCTACTTGCTATATTAGCGTTAAGTAGCTTTGGGATGAAGAAGGGACTTTAAAAGGATTGTAATCTTGGATTTTTTTCAAGTTCCTTTAATTTGTGTTAGAATACAGCCCTTTAAGATCTCAAATTTCCGGTTGGGGGGTTCCCCCCCATGATATAATGATTACATGTGGAAAAATAATTCCTAATATTTTATCGGAATCTGTGGCATCATATAGGGTTTATTGCAGCAATAGGCAGTACTGCAAAGCTTTTGTGTGTAAGGTTTAACTTTTAGGAGAAATTCTCACCGACTTCAGATGTACACATTTAAATATAATATTGTTGACTGTTTTTCAGCAGCGACAGTACTGACCTCAAGTGTGTGTGTGTGTGTGTGTGTGTGTGTGTGTGTGTGTGTGTGTTTGTGTGTGTGTGTGTGTTTCTGGGGAGGGAGGAGCGGTTTGAATTATAAGAGAATATTCAGTTTGTGTGCCGTAATTTTTGAGATGTTCATTACTTCCCACATTGGTGGCAGCACTTAATTCTATGCTGTCTCTTGTGGCTGTTTAGAAAAACAGGATGTCTAGCTGTAATTTTGCTGGAAAGGCTGTGCAGTTTTACATTTCAATTTTCTCCCTCCTATGTGAAGCATTTAGAGTGCTGGTTTTGAGATATTTGGAATATTCATTTTAACCAGGGCTAATGAATAACAGCTTCAAGGCGGAGAGGTGATTTTTAGAGGAAAATTTTCCTGGACCTTTGGTGAAGGCCAGCAGGCTGAATAAGACCAGTCCTTTGAGAGAAAAGCCCCAACAGGATGGGGAGCAAATGGTTTGCCCTTCTCTTAAAAATTTATTCCCAAGTGGATTTTTTTTTTCTGATTATAAATAACAGATGTGTATTGTTGAAGGTTTGGAATCTGCAACAAGATAAACAAAATAGAAGTTGTGCATAATTCTACTGAGAGAGCCACATTTAACATTTGCCATATTTACTATTAAAAATATAGTTATATTTGTGTATATCAGAGTTGTTAAACAGCCACATTAGTGACATTTTGGGCTGGAGAATTCTTTGTTGTAGGGGGGCTGACCTGGGCACTGTAGGATGTCAAGCAGCCAGAGCATCTCTGCCTCTACCCACTAGATCCCAGTGGCTTTCACTCCTCCCTCACTACTTCTCACTTGCGACAGCTAAAAATGTCTCCGGACATTGCCAAATGTCCCTGGGGAGCAAAATTGCCCCAGTTGAGAAGCACTGGTGTACATCTATATGTATTCACATTTGCATTTTTACTCATTTGTAGCCTCTGCCTCTTATTGGTGGTTAGTGTTGAAAGCTAACCCAGGCTGAAAGGAAAGTAAATTATAGACTCTCATTTGGTACAGCATTAGTAGAAGATGTAGGCACTGTGCTCGCTCATAGGTGAAAATGTCAAGGCCTATGATATTTTACTTACAGGCTCTGACGTTATTTTACAAAATTATTAATTTACAGTTTTGTTTTGTTTATATGGATAATACAATTTTCTTTCATAAAAGATGTTAAAATTTAGAAGCTGTCTTTTGGAATACTATCGAAGCATTGATAGCTAAGCTATTTTAATCAAAGCCGTAATGAAAGTGAAACTGGTAAAGTAATTTTTTAAACACTTCATTTTTATCTATATGTATATCTTTTAGAGGCTATTTTACTTTATCTGAATGTACCTGGGTGGGGATGAGGATATATATGGATCTCTCTATATCTTAACTGCATACTGTACACACACACACACACACACACACACACACACACGTTTAAATTGCCTGCATATATACACACAGTATATGCTATATGTATATGCATATATGTGTATATATACTCACGTACATGTATATATATAAACTGCAGAGTGTTCTGAAAGTTATTTTTAGAGAATTCTTTTAAAAATATTTTGAATTTTTTTAAGAAAAAGTTCCCTCGTGTGTCATGGAGTCTGTTGAAAGGGAATATTTATAGTTGTTATTTAAATTTGAGGGTTTTCTGCTTAATTAACTTGTAAGTCAGGTTTCTTTCATTCAGGAAGACTGAAAGATGGCTTCAGAAGCTAAGGTTTTTCAATTATAGGTGAAATAGCATCAGAAGGTGTAGCAGTAAAAAATCGAATACTAACTTTTGCCAATGCTAATTATTTATTCAGTTATTTTGGAAATGTTTTCTGTTGATTGGGTCTTTTTCTTTCTGATGGATCTCTAAGTGATCAAGAACTTGAGTAATGCACCATTAGTAAAACCAAATATAACAACTGAGTTATTCTACACTGCCAGACCCTCTGGCCAGGCTTCCAGGGTTTGCCTCCAAGCTCCATCCCTTTTTACTTCTTTGTCCTCAGTTTCTTCATTTGCAAAATGGGGGTGGAAATGGTGCTGATCTCAGAGGATTTTGTGAGGATTAAGTGCCTTGAATTTAGTAAGCACTTAATACACGTTACCTGTTATTTTGGCAATATCTCAGCTGTCCCCTGAATTTGGTCCTTGTAGAGCATGGAACAGCTTTCCTTCCTTGAAGGGGCTGAACCAGTGCAGATAACTTGGGACTATTATGTGCCCTCCAATTGCACAGATAAGTTGTTCGTGTCTTTTTGTTATATACTCTCTTATGTTGTATGACAGCTTGGTGTAGGAACATGAAAACTGTCCATGATGATAATGAGAAGGAAGAAAAAACCATTCTTAGATTTACAGAGTTTTTCCTTTCCTCTGACTCTGCTTCACGTGACACGTGCTTCACCACACTGAATCCAAAGTGGCGATGGTGTAGAAACCAAAAAGCATTTTCATTAGCTTACTGTCCAGAAGTAATTGCGTGTATGCGAGACCCTGCTTTGTGTCCCTTCTTACTTCACCTTCAAGGTTAAAAAGCTTCTGTAGTTCCCTGTGATCCACTTGACCTGCTCTGGCCCTGAGGTCTTCACGCATTCTGACCTTGGCTGCTGCTCTGGTCCGTTGTCTGGGACGCTCACTCTAGCCTGACCCTTGGCTGAGCAGGCCCAACATATTATCTGTTGAATGAAAGAACAGATGCTATTGCCCTGCTTTTCATACAGGCCTGGTCCTTCCCGACTCCTAATATGGCGTGGCACTGTCATCATTTCTGTCTCTTTGAATTTCTTGAGTGTCTGGCTTTGTTGTGTGTGCCTTGTTGCCCTAACTAGGTTCCCCTGAAGGGAGTTTGGGCTTCTAAGTTTGGTGTTCCCTTTGTGTATGCAGTAGGTATTCATTAGTTAGCCCGTGAGTTCTTCCTAATGGAAGAGAGGCAGTTGTCACTGTGTTGTCTTGTTCCTCTATTTATAGGTTATTCAGTTCTGAAGATGGCAGGCTGAATGCCTTAAGCATTGGTTTCTTATTATTGTTTAATCACGTTTTTATATCAGTTCTGGCAGCAAGAAAGTCAGTCTAGAATTTGTTCTTTTAATCCAGTCAGACTTTGCTGACATGTGAAGCTTTGCCTCTGATGCCCCTGGATAGGTTTGGGACGTGGACATGGCTACTGAGTAAGAGCAGCTGCTACAGACTCTCGTTGGTCTGGACTAGGATGGTGGCAGGCTCCGTGCTCCACTGGCCTTGTTTGTTCATCTAGCAAACACCTAGCATGGGCCCGGCCTCGGATACAGTCGTGAATAAGAAGGTCTCTACCTTTAAAAATCTCATGTCTTGTTAAATTTACCCCCTTAAGCCTGGGAGTAAATAACGGAAATTGATAGAAAGTGAAACAGGAAATGGTACACCGAGTATGAGAATTCTTAATTGTCTCAGGTACTGTGTTATGTAATGGCATCTTTCTCCAGTCGTTGATTCATTAACTTGTATTTGGAAATCTTTTTGTCATAGAGTTTTATTTTTGGTTTAATCTACTTCCACTGTTAACATAAAAAATAATAACTATCATGGGTTCGATACTAACCAGCATTGTTTAAGCCCTTTATAAGTATTAACGCATGTTAATACACCAAAAACTATGAAGTTTTAGGTCCTGATTTTACAGATGAGGAAATTGAGGCACGGAGTCATTAAATAACTTGCCCAAGGCCTTCAGAAAGTGACAGTGCTGGGATTTGAACCTGCGAGGTGTTTAGCTCCAGAGCCCATGCTTTTGGCCGCTGTGCTGTTGTATGAGTTTTAGCACAATTGGGCCAGAAGGTTAGTATTGTGGTGATAAAGTTCTTGTTTCTGAGGGAAATAATTTTCATGTTCTGTTTTGATTTAGAAAAATTTGCTTTTATGAAGTTTTCAGAAATAGTCATATCCACTAGTATTTTAAAATTATCTTTATTAAAACATTTTTTGTTGAGGTATAATTGACATTAGCTTCAGGTGTACAACATAATGATCCGATATTTGTATATATTGTGAAATGATTGCCAGGGTAAGCCTAGATAACATCTGTGATGGTACATAGTTAGAAAATTTTTTTTCTTGTGATGAGAACTTTAAGATTTATTTTTTTTAGCAACTTTATGCAATATGCAGTACAGTATTATTAACTGTAGTCACCGTGCCATACGTTATATACGTATGATTTACTTATTTTATAATTGGAAGTTTGTGCCTTTTGACCACCTTCCCCCATTTCGCCCATCCCCACCCCAACCCCCGCCTCTGGCGGTGGGGGGGAATTATAGGATTTGGCTCCTGCCCTTTGAGAACTTGGTGTTAGGCTGGTAATACCCTGAGATAACATCCAAGTACTGAAATGTGGGAACTCAGAGGAGAGAGGAGGAACAGTGTGTATGAGAGGCGTCTGTCTGTTCAGGCCCCTGAGAGATCTGCGTTAGCAGACAGGTGACTGGGGCCTAGCCTAGAGCCTCACTCCCATGGGCAAAGATTCAGTGCTTTTGTGCTGATGGTTTACATTGGAGCCCAGAGCCCCTGCTGAAGCATAGTTGTAGTGACTGAGATAGGTATCAAGGTCAGTTGACAGTGGCTCAATTCCAGGTTAAGGAGCTGGAGTAGAGCTGACTAGCAGTTAGGGAGCCATGGTAGGTTCTTGAGCAGAGAGTAGCACAGTGACATTGAATGCTGGGTCCATACCATGTGCATGGTAAGTAATGACTGATGTCGAGGAAGATTGGTCTGGCAGTGACACCCAGGATGGGTTGAAGGCTAAAGTCACAGAGAAGAAAGAAAGCCCCATCTGTGATGGCAGTGGAGGCCTGGGGTACTGATGGTGCGGGCCAGTTGGCTGACGGAAAGGATGGAGAAAAAAGGACAGGTCTGAACTGTCATTTCAGATGAGTGGGTGGGTCTTTGATGGTTGGGGGTGAAGGGAGGAGAGCAGTATAGGATGACCCTAAAGGTTTGCGGGTCCGGGAGTGTGATGGTGGTGTCTGACAGAGGGAGCCTGGTTAGAAGAGAAGCCACTTGTCAGGGATCCCTGATGTTGATAAGTCTGATGCTGGTTGTAATTGTTTCTGGGGAGACAAAGTGCATGTGCCCTGGAGGCATCTGGCAGTAGGGCTGGAGCTGTAAGTTAGTTCACGGACACGTGTGGTGGAGTACTAAGCTTGTGCCGTGCTGACCAAAACCGCGTGAGGCTTGGCTCTTGCGGAAAGATAGGCATTTATTGAGTGTCTGTGATGTGACTGAGTGAGAAATTGGGGCCGGAGATAGGGATTCGGGCCCATGGTTACAAGCGAGGGCTAACTTGTGGAATTAATGTAGGGGAGTCGGCCCCGGGGGACTGCCAGTGACATAGGAAGAGGGCCGTGAGGCAGTATTACCAAGAGAGCCAAGAATCATAGAGAAGCCGGAGGAACAGAGCGGGTTGGTGTTCCTGAAGCCAACAGTGATGAGCTTCTAGAAAGAATAGTCCAGATCGCGTCCATCAGGCAAGTGTAGTATTTCATTGGATCTGCCCTTGTGTTCGTTTCCAGCGCCTTCCCTGGTACATGGCACATGGTCTGATTTTGGTGTAAATCTGGAAGATTTTGGAATCACTTTGAGCATGATATTTATGCCATTTATAATATTTATCAGCCTTTTCATGTTGATGTCAGAATAGATCAGGTATTCATTTAGGGGATTCTGAGCAAAACTATACATTTTCTATATTTGGGAATTTTTATTATCATTAAACTTTACCTCATGTGATAAACATTAAAAAATGCTCTTGGAGAGAAGTGATGTAAAACTAATTTGAGAGTATGTTTAGGTTGTAATTTTAAACAGGTAGAATTCTTACAATGAGTATCTAGGGGGTCACTTGACAATTTATGGCTTTTAGTAGTGTCATTAATAGTGTCGTTCTTTCAATAAATATTGAATGCCCGCTGCGTGTCACACACTTCTGTTTTAGACATTCATTACAAGTTCATCACCTCTGTGAGATTTGAAGAACTCTTTCTTTTAGAGATTTCGTGTTCCTTTGAAGCAACTGTTAAAGCATGTTTTTTTTTTCAATAGGGTGATTCTGAAGAGGATATGGAGGAGCATTCTCAAGAACAGAGGTAAGAAAAAAATGGAAGCATTTACCTGCTAGATTTCTCTGTCCACTTTGGATACCATCTGAAGTCTTGTGTATGTCTATGTTTATGTATTTAATATTATGTGTAATATACCTTTCTCTTTGGCATTTGGGGTATCTACACGCTTTAATATGATTTTGTTTGAAAATAAGTTTATACAGAAGGCTGTTAAATACACACACACATACACTCATTCTCTCTCTCACTCTCTCCCTCCCTCCCTCCCTCCCTCCTTCCCTCTACCAACTTCTCTTCTCCCATGGCATGCTTATACCTAACTCCATGTTATTCACAAACAGCCACTGAGCATCAGGCACTGTGCCGAGTGCCAGATACAAAACACCAAACAAGGCGTTGTTGTGTGTAGTGGGAGAGTCAGGCAGTGCTGCAAGCAAAACAAAATAATTATGCTTTTATAAGAACTGTCAAGAATTAGATGGCTGTGGTAGAGAATAATGAGGTGATGGGGTGATCAGGTGAGGTCCCTCTTAGCAGGTAGCATTTGAGTTGAGGTCCGGAGGATGTGCAGGAGTGGCCTCACAGCAAGCAGAGGGAGAGCGCTGTGGGCAGAGGGAACGGCAGGTGCAAAGGCCCTGAGGTGGGAAGCACTGGCAGCCGTCCAGGAACTTGGAGAAAGCCAATGTCGTTTGTGGAATAGTGAGATGAGGTAGGACCTTAGAGGTCAACAGTAGGGATTTGAATTTAATGTTTTAATAAAATGAAATATAGTATTGTGGTGTGAGTTGTTAAAGGATTTTAAGCGGGGGCTAGCAAATCGAAAGATGTAAACTATATTTTTAAAAGAGAATAATACTCTGGTCATGGGGCAGTCTCAGTCAGTTGTCAGAATGGAATATCTGATCCCTTAGAAGTACTTGAAGACTCAGTGGTACCTGAACACAGGAATAACTTTTAGGAAATCAGCTTCTAGATTCCCAACATCCACATATTTTCCTAAAAAATGACCTACCTGAGGTTGTAAGTTTCTCCACTTTAAAAAAGAAAGACATCTTGCCCAGCCCTGATCCTACTGTGTGTTTCCTTTTGGGCATTTGAAATACGGGTATTGGTTAGGAGAAAGTGGTTAACTCTGATTGGATGAAAAACTCCTTTGTTACTCTGGTGATTTTCAAATCTTTACTTCCATTAAAATTGATGGAGGACCCATTCAAATTGGCAGTTGTTAGATCATTTTTAATGCTAGATCATTGTGATTTTTGGATAAAACATTGAGGGAGTTCAGAGAATATAGGTAGAGACAGTGCTATAACAAAGCTCCGTCTACTCACGTCTGTTTGTGTAAACTCGCTTTGTGCATGCTTACATTAAAAAACAGTTGTAATAAAGGACAAGGAAAATAAGATTAAATTGATGCTAACATCCTCTCTTATTCCAGCAGTAAGTAATAATCATATGGACCAATTAGGGGGGTAAAAGACAGTTTTCATTCATCGCATTAAAGGATACATTTTTCAATTAAATTTGATTTGTGTTTAATTATCTATTAAAATTTGTAAAATTTATTGATCAATTGCATACTAATAAAATTATAATGATAACTCATTTCAGAAGAAAAAAAATTAACACTAAGATCCAGTGGTCACAGGAAATTTTTAAAAACCTGAAATTTCAATTTACACCCATAGTTTTGTTGCAAAAGGCTTTGAACATAAAGATATATTAGGTTAAAATTCTTTGAGGGAATATCCAGCAATATAGAAAAGCCTATCTGTATATTTTAAAAAATGAATGATGATGGATATTATTGCACTGGTATTTAGAGTCCATGGAATATATTTTAAAAAGTGATTGTGAGTTTTATTGAAAATGTCAATATTTACAATATTACCTTCTTGGCGACCATTTAAACTCAGCATAAAATTTTAAATAGGGAGTAACTTAAAGTTCAAAATTTGTCACAATCCCGTTTGGGTGTATGGGAGCAAGAAAAGGTTCAGGCTAGCTGGCGGTAGAGGGGCTGGAGGGACATGGAAAGTTCTGAGATGAATTCTGGGTTGGAACAGATCCATCACTGGTTGAATCGGTTGTGGAGAGAGGGAGGGAAAGAAGTCATGGAGGGGGAGGGGTTCTAGCGTTTGGCTTTGAGCATCTGGCGAGATCATGACTGTGATGGGAGAAAGGATTTAGTGGGAGGAAAATCAGGAAGTCTGATGGGTCATTTCTTAGAAATCTCAACTTGATTTGACATGTTCAAGCGTAGCTGGCAGGTAGGCAGGTGATGATATGAGCGTGGAGCTAGGACGGCCTGGGCTGCATCTCTGGGGCTGGGCGGGTCCGGCCTGCGGAGAGTCTTGCTGCATGTGCTTTTGAGTTTGTCTCTTTGGCAAATGCAGTTCTCTCCTTTCTCATTAATTAGAACTCGTTCGTGTTCACCAGTTTTCTGCCCCACTTAAAGGTATTAGTAGACTTTAATCTTACTGGTTTTTTGACACTGTCAGATTATCAGCAGAGGTGTGTGTGGGGTGACGGAGAATTGTGTCAGTGATTTAGAACAGTGGCTTTCAAACTTTCTCAGCAATTTCAAGTAAGAGATACATTTTACCTCACGATTACTTATTCACCCACAGCCATATATGTGGATGTATGACTATACGCATGCTTATTTATTAATAAAATGGCACTTAACCTTACTACCTGTGATACACTCTTATTTTTTTTTTTTTGGTTTATATATAAAACCTTTTCATTTTAACCATTTTTAAGTATACAGTTCTGTGGCATTGAGTGTGTACACATTCTTGTGTAACCGTCATCACCATCCATTCACAGAACTTTTCTATTTCATTAAAAAAGAAAAGGCTGGTTGCCACTTCTGGATTGATTTGAAAATGCCTTAATTAGATCATCCCTCATTGACATAGTATTCTAATCTTCCAAATAGCAAATATTCCAGTATTTTGCCATTATTTTATCCCTTTCAACTTGACTTCCAAGCATCTTTGTTTTCTTTTGGCTTTTTTTTTTTTGTTGAAATTTATTCTTTATGTGTAAAGACAAGATCATGACATGGGTTGGATGCTGCTATTAGAAAACTTTTTGTGTCTATTTTCTGAAAATGTAGATTGTGAAGTTCTCTCCAGAGAATTATCTCTGTAAGTGTAATGTCCTGTGATGGGTAAATTTGTCACCTAAATGCTTATCGTCTATTTATCTTTACTGTGTAGTTTTTTGTGTTTTTTTTAATGAAAAATTTAATATCCCCAAAGCTCATATCATGTCTCACTACTTTTAAAATAAACCTTTTGCTTTAGAATAGATTTAGTTTTACAGGAAGCTGTAGAGATGGTACAGAGTCCCTATTTACCCCTCAGGCAGTTTACCCCAGTGCTAACATCTTATGTTACCGTGGTCTGTTCCTCACAACTTAGAAACCAGTTGATACATTGCTATGAACTAAATAAACCCCACACTTCATTTGGATTCCATTAGTTTTTCCCTAATGTCCTTTTCCTGTCCAGGATCCTTACTTTTAATTGTCACGTCCTCCGAGGATCTTCTTGGTTGTCCCAGTTTGTCACTTTCCTTGTTTTTGAAACCCTGACAGATCTGACGAGGACTGGACCGGTGTTTTGTAAAATGTACCTCCGTTTGGGATTGTCTGATGTGTTTTTTCACGGTTAGATGGGGTGGTGGGTTTGGGGAGGAAGACCACAGATATAAATTGCCATTCTCATCACATATCACCTCTCTGCTATCACCATGATATATCACTTTGATGTTGACCTTGATCACCTGGCCGAGGTACCGTTTGTCAGGTTTTTCTGCAGTAAAGTTATTCTCTTTCTCACCTCATTCCACGTTACACTGTTTAGAGGCAAGTCATTAAATAGGATTAAGCTCCACCTACATTATTTAGAATTCTTTTGTATGGGAGACTTGTCTTTTCTCCCTCATTTATTTATTTATTTCGTTCAATACTAGATTTGCCCTGTTTTAATGTCATTTATCCTTAATGTTAGTTATGAAGTTATTAGTATCTCCTTACACATTTTCCAAACATTTTTGTGATTTTCATTTTAATTGCTACCCTACAATGCCAACTGTCAGTAATATTAAGATGGCTTTGAAGCAGTAGAGCCAACACGTATGAATTCCACAAAAAGAATATATCGTCTCTGAGAGGCCCAGATAGCAGAGCAGCTATTACCTGGGGACTCGATAAATAGATTTCACCATAGAACAGTCTCAGTATGTCCCAAGAAAAGTGCAGGTGGCACCTACATCTGTCTCGAGAGAATCTAGGTAGTGAAGAGGCTCTGTGTCTCACCCTCCAGACTGCCCACGGTGGGGCCGGAAGCAGACCACTGTTCATTCTGGGGTTGAGGGTTCTAGAGTAGCTAGCCTGTGATCTCACACACAGTTTGGGAAAGCTTTCAGGGTAATTGGCCTCATTGAAGATTTTGTTTATATTATCTTGACCTCATCTTCGGCAAATGCTGTGTAATCGTATTTGGTTGAAAGCCAGAAGAGCAATATTTGAAAAACTTTCTTCCTTCTTTCCTCTCCATCTCCATTTTTCTCCTGGGTGTTCTCAGATATCAGCAGTAAGCTGTTGCTTTGCTGAGAAAGATTGCTGTTGGGGATTTGGTGATGAGAGCGAATGAGGGCTGACATCAGCTCTTACTAGAATTGAACACTCTGGGAAGCTTGGCTGGCTCTGTGCATATCTCTGATAAGCCTTTTTAGGGTATGTTCGTTAGAATGTGAAAAGTTTAAGCAATGACAAAGTATAAATAGTATATTATTTCAGCTTTTTAAAATGGTTATATAAAAAAATCATACATACTGATTGGCTAGGTACAGTGTCTGTGGAAGGTTTGTTTCTTCGTTTAACTGTGCTTTTATCTGATTAGTAACAGCAGCAAAATGTGTTTTCCTGAAACCATTTACATCAGTTAAAGGCAGATTCTAAGAGTCAGAACATGAAGAAAATCTTGTTAACCTTTCAGCAACACACTGAA